TAGACACCAGTCAAGTTTCGTCATGATTGGTCAATGTTAAGCCTGTCAAAAGGCCTGCTGAATGCTTATTGGCCGATGGCGACCACAAATTTCGATGTATCCAAACGTCCTTCAATGCACGCTTGTAGAATGGCGAGTGGATGCTGCTTGCAAAGTTTCAGCTTGATAGGATGTACGGCTGCAGAGAAAATGCCCTGTTTTTGTTGCTCCGCCCCCTAATTACGTATGCGCACAAAAATCGAATGGCTACCTCAGAATGGGCTATTGACATGGCCTGTGAAGTTTGAATTTTTTTGGCTGAAGGATCCTTGAGTTACAGATTTTTCAATTAATTCTGAATTATTTTGAATTTATCCAGAAGGGTTCATTTGCATATAGCAGCCATGCTGTATGGAAAACTTAAAATGTTTTTGATAATTATTGACCAGGACACTCTTCTGAATTTTTTGACACCAAATGAATGAGGATTGGGCCAAGATTGTAGGACTAGTACACAAAAGTAGGTTTCGCACATTTTGCAGTATTGCGAAAAATCTAAGTGGGCGGAGCTAAATAATCAAAATAGCCAAAAGGTTTATTTGGACCCATAGAATCAGGAAAAAAATATGGCTTGTCTGGCAAAAGTCTGGTTTAGGAGATATAGACCCAAACGCGTTGACCTGCGCTGTAGCGCCCCCTTGTGGTCGACTGGGCTGATTCCTTGCGCCTGAGTAGCGGGAGGGACTACTACCTATTGACCAAGTTTGGTGTCTCTAGGACTTACGGTTTGGGCTGTGCGTTCCGTTTCAGGGCAGAAAAATAATAATAATAATAATAATAAGAAGAAGAAAAATCCGCACAATTCCAATAGGGTTCTACGCACTTCGTGCTTGAACCCTAATAAGAAAAATCTTGACAATTTCAATAGATATAAGTATATATAAATATAGCCGCGAGCGGCAATGAGCGGGTTCAAGCTGCGTGCAGCAGTATGGGCCCTTCTGCAGGTTTAGCCCATTAGGCCTAAAAAGGCCTCAAGCTTCTGGTTTAGGCCATTAGGCCTAAAAAGGCCTCAAGCTTTTGGTTTCGCCCATTAGGCCTAAAAAGGCCTCAAGCTTTTATTATATTAGGCCTAGAAAAGCCTCAAGCCTTTGTATAGTAAGTCTTTGTATAGTGAAATCTTTGAATGAATAATCCAAAATAAAAGACAAGCAGTGCAATTTTTGACATAACATGTAATTAGAAAGTTGTTCATCTTAGTGGACCATTTGTTTATATGTGGGCCTTGTAATAACATTGTAATAGCATTTTTATTGATTTTTCAGTGTTTTTGAGTGCTGAAGCACCCCCAAAGGCCAATCTGGACCAAACTTGGCATACTCCATTAGAATCTCAATTTGTATAAATACTCAAAGTTTGAACATGATTTGATCAATGACTGATGAGTTATAGCTAACCAAGCTAACAATGCCACATATGCAGGAATTTGGTGATTAATCCACATGACCCTGAGTAGAAAACTCAAAATGTTTTTGATAATTATTTACCTAGAGATGAAAGCAATGAAAATCTGGTTGCTGAATAATGACAAGAAAAAAAGTCAGCTAATACTGCAACGTCAGGTCATCAGATGTTAAATTTATTGCTCCAGACAGAGGTTTAAAGCTGTGTTTAATATGTTGTAATACTTATCGTTATGACTGAAAGGCATTCAGTCCCAGTTCTCAGGTACTGCAACAACAACTAAACCATCACGGTGAGAGTCTTTGTTTGGTTTTAGATCCTGTTGTGTTGTTTGCTGTGACGGAAAATTAAAGATAAAGCGTTATTTACACACAGAAATAACCTAAGAAATCCCGAGTGCAGTCCGTAACGTCCACACGTTTACGGGAATTTGGCACAACACCTGTCCTTCACCAGCACTTTCAATAACGGCAGTCATGGCTCCCGCGCACGTACAGCTACTACCTGAGAGGAGCCTCTAGGGCTAAAGTTGAACTTAATCGGCCGTTCACAGCTGCAAAATCCCCTGCTAAGGCATCTCAGACCTGACATACATCTGAAGATATCTGGCATACAGTTGCTGATCCTAGCTTATTTGCAGACAGGGCACAGTGGCTCATACCCTTTGCCGGGTAATGGATGGTAACTGCTAAGCGCTCTGATGCACTCACAGAACAGTAGTTTTCTCTTAGTCAATGTAAGGACAAACATAGTGCAGAAGATCGTCACATTTTGCTGCTGCCATTCTGAAATACTGGAAGTGCTGATCCATGCATGGGCTGAACAAGAGAAACATACTCTCCATCATTTCACCGAGAGCAATTCAGAGGACGCATACCCCACATTCGCCTATGCAACAGGTAAAGCAACACACGCTCCTCTACTGTTGACATGTTTAACCCTATCCTGTTTACACACGGTATGATTCGTCCTCTATTGCCCTCCTGAGTGTTTTAACCACCATGGCAACGTAAGAACTCATGTTGCGTTGAGTTTGCTGAGCACAACCGTGTGTTTGCATAGCATTGGCTGTGTGTTGGCATTTGCGTACTTGTGTTGAATATGTTTCTGGCCTTGTGTTGAATACGTTTCTGCACTGCACACGCTCTGTACTTCTGCACAAACTCACCATGCATTCTTACATTGCTGTGGCGGTTAAAACACTCAGTCCTGCAGCGGGCGATAAAGGACAAGTCAGAGAAGGATCTATTGTCATTCCAACAGCCTCAACAGCTAAACGTGGACAAGGAGAGTGAGCTGCTTTACCTCTTCTGCTGGAATGGAAAGGCAATCATGTATCATATTTTTTATGTTTATGTAAGCCGTCTTTGCACGAGACTCAATTGCTCGTCTGCTATGGCAGTTGAGAAAGCACGCTAGCGGTACAAGTCAGGCTTGGCTGTCGTTATAGTGCCCCTTGTTGTAACGCTCTGAATGCAGCTTGCACTTGCGGTGAATTATGAGCTGCAGGGGTTCAGCCCCAAAGTAGCATCTGGCAGCAGGAAGTGGCAACTCCGCTGTCCGGAAATGGCACGTACTGGCATGTGCCACTTAGCGAATGGCACCTGACACCGACAACTGGTAACGAGTGGCTCATGCCACTCGGTTAGTGGCACTCGCCAGTGGCACCTGCCACACAGAAACGGCGTGTGCCTCTCAAAACAGGCACATACCAACAGCTCCTGTGAGTAAAGCAAAGACTCTGGACAGCGGCTACTCGGCTGGGCTGACTAGCAGCACATCATAGCTCCACCATCGGCCATCAGAACCTGGGAAAAGTCATGGAGGAATGTCGACCTAAAGACTCAGATAGTCTGTCATTTTGGGCTTTTGTTGTGGCACGGAGAGCTGAAGAAAGCAGCTCGTGTTACTCGAACTAATTACTGAATTCATTGTGGTGTTATTCATGCTAAATCTAAAGTATGTATAGACTATTTATCAGCGTATTTATTAAACAGGACAAGAGGAACGCAGGCTTGTGTTCTTGGTTTTAACGTTATTTATTATTTTTTCAGGAGTGGCACTAGCCATTTACTGAGGTTAAAGGCACTGGCATGTGCCACTCAGGAGTGGCCCTAGCCATTTACTGAGGCGAAAGCCATTGGCATGTGCCATTCAGGAGTGGCAATCAGTAGCAGTACTAGCTACTTATCACACAGTGGACAAAGTTCCAAGGTTTGAAAATAGTTCTCGATTAGCCTGCATCACACAGGTAAATGCCCCAGTTGAAAGTTTGATCTCAAACGTAAGCAATATTGGTCAATAACTGTATTCAGTAATTCTTGTGAAATGTGTTCCTGTTACTAATTTCGGAGTTCCTGAGTATAACATTTACAGTTACAAAGCTACCTCGCCACATTTGCAAGTATTGTACAATGTTGTTCTCATGGTATATGGGGTATTTAAAGTTTTAATTATGTGAGTAATCTTAAAGCACGTGCAATGTAAAATAAAAGGAACTGTACTGGTACATGTTTTAATGTACAATGTAAATTTAACCAAATGTGTACCTTAAATATGCTTTTCCCAGGTAAAGGTTATATATTTGTTCATTTGCATAATCTAAAACAGAACAATAAAATAAAAAAAAAAGCATGGAGACAAGACTGGGTATGTTCAGTCAATATAGTTGCAATAGATTACGCTCTCCAAATAAAAGGTACTCAAGATGTACCTTGAGGGTACCACCCCTGTGACAGTTCAGTATAAACCCCTGTGTGTTTAAAACATTAAGTTATCCCCACTTTAACTGATGTAACGTTGAGAGCTCTTGACAGTATGGATGAATATAGGTCAAGAGGGCAATCAATCAATTTTTTGTCACGTTTTGTGATAGTTTCCACTACTGACCCCCTTATGAACAGCATGAGGCACTATTTTCAAAACTTAGCACTTGGTAACATGATGTAAATATACTTATCTCCCCCACCACCCAGCAAAACGCTGGTCAACAGTAAATTGCTAGTGCCACTCCTGAGCGGCACATGCCAGTGCCTTTACCCTCAGTAAATGGCTAGTGCCACTCCTGAACAAATAATAAATAAAAACAAGAACACAAGCCTGCGTTCCTCTTGTCCTGTTTAATAGTCTATACATTAGATTTAGCATGAATAACACCACAATGAATTCAGTAATTAGTTCGAGTACATCTGTAACACGAGCTGCTTCCTTCAGCTCTCCGTGTCACAACAAAAGCCCAAAATGACAGACTATCTGTACAGAGTCTTTAGGTCAACATTCCTGCATGACTTTGCTAGTTAGCCCAGCCGAGTAGCCGCTGTCCAGAGTCTTTGCTTTACTCACAGGAGCTGCTGGTATGTGCCTGTTTTGAGAGGCACACGCCGTTTCTGTGTGGCAGGTGCCGCTGGTGGGTGCCACTAACCGAGTGGCATGAGCGGCATGTGCCACTCGTTACCAGTTGACGGTGTGAGGTGCCATTTGCTAAGTGGCACATGCCAGTATGTGCCATTTCCGGACGGCGGAGTTGCCACTCCCTGCTGCCAGATGCCACTTTGGGACTGAACCCCCTCTCCGTTTTTAATTGCGCGCGCGGACATCGGTTCAAAACAGTCGGAGAGGACAGTCGGAGAGGACAACTACTTTATTCTGCTTGCTTCTGCTGCTTGGAACCTTAATTTGGTAAGTTTTGTTTCAGTCCATTTTCGAAGCAAATACAACGCTGCTGTAGTTTTTCAGCCTGAGTGCAGTTAAGTGTTGTTGGTGCTAGCTGCTAATGTTTTCAGGAGGCGGGCAGAGTTTATTTTATCCACACGTTCATTTACAGCCTAAAAAGAGCAACTTCACGGTAATTTGAACTTTTCTTAACTTTACTGAACGTGAGCACGTTAGGGGTGTAAAACATTTTCCTAGAGAGTATTAAGAGAGAGTATTCCTTGAGAGTATTAAGTGAAGCTTTGGCTGTGCTTAAATGTAAATTTCCACTCTGCAATAATAGTGAATGTCGGCAAAATAGAACAAGATGTTTAGAAAAGGTAGTTCATTTACAGTCTAAGAACACTGGCGCGAGGGAAGTGTTATGGAATCCAAATTTTAAATCTTTGGCGCATTATGTTGAACTTAAACTTGAATAACAGCGTGCATTTTATGTAACAGTATTTTTTTTTTTATTATTATTAGCTTGCAGGCGTAAGTGATTGGTGATAAGAGCGCAGATGATGTGAATACAGTTCATAGGTGCATTTTTATTTTTTATTAATTGCAAACAATATTGTGATACTCAGACAGTGACTGTTGTATGATTGTCATCATAGATCATATTTGCATTGTCAAAAAGTGATTGATTTGTATTTTTGTGTGCATGAATACGACGGTACACTGAAGACAGAACATATGGTCAGTTCCTAAAAGAGCACTGCATAGGTAAGTCTTGATTTATGTAAATGCCATTTTCCAATTAGAAAAAAATTCCCTTCATTCATTTCTGAAGACAACTTTAGACAGTGTTGTTAAGGCTATGTTTAGTAACTGAAGGTGTTTTGGAAATACTGAAGTTGTCATAAATATCCCATACCTGCCCTACATTTTCAAAAGTTGGCTTGTACTTGTACATACTTATTGACTAGTGGATTGGAAATGCAGGTTGTGCAATAATGCCTCCTCTGATACTCATGGACAGTCACTTGGGCATTATCGTTTGCAACATAGCCATTTTTCAAAAGTCAGCCCTTTGCTATGTCTTTATGAAACATGTATTTGCACATTTCAATCAGTCGATGCACTAAAAATTCATGTGTCAAGTTTCACAAAGAGACAGAAAAAGTAGGGGCAAGTCAAGGAAGACAATGAGTGCAGGTGGTGTATAAATGTTGTTTGAGTGGGTTCAAGCAACCTTTTTCTGAGAAGAAACTTTTTGCACATTTAGGAGGGCATTTAAGAACCCATGAAATGGTAGCATGTCCATATAAGAATTGTGCTTATAGTACTAATGTGTACTCATCCTTTAATGCTCACAAAAGCAGAATACATGGTGCCTGTGCTGGTCCAGAATTCTTTAATGATGTCTATGCTGATGAAGACAGTCTTGGCCTAAATGCTGCTGAATCTTTCGATGAAAATGTAGATCTGTGTGAGGGTTTGAGTCAACCTGAGAATGAAAACTCAGATGTTGACAATGGGCAATGTGACAGCAACCAATTAACTGTGCATTTATGTCACAATTTAGCTTCTCTTTTTTTAAAGATGCAGGCTATTCTTCATGTTTCTGATCTAGCAGCACAGGAGATAGTGGAGCATTTGAGACAAATCTTTCTGTTGTCTAGACCTCTTCTGAAACAAAATAGAAGTGAGGTGTTACAGAAACATTGCGCTACTGTAAGTGATGCAGTTCTTGATGAGGTTGTTAGTGTTGTCTTAAACAGTAATATATTTGTCAGTGCAACAACTGTAGGTGGAGAATTATCCTCCAATAAGAGAAGAAAATCATTTATAGAAAGAAACTATCCTGTGGTCATGCTTTTTCAGTATATCATAGAGTCTGGACACACTGCAGTGTATGTCCCTATACTTCCTATGAGTCAGGAGCTGTTCAGACATACTGATGTACATGATAAAATTCAAGAAGCATGCTGTTCTCAGCCCGACCACTACACAAGTCATCGAGATGGTTTGTACTTTCAAGAAAATGAGTTGCTGTCAGCATCACATGAGCTAAAAATGATGTTGATTTTATATATTGACGAGATAGAAGTAGCAAATCCTTTAGGTACTTCAAGGAAAATACACAATCTTCTGTCAGTATACTGGGTTCTCGCAGACTTGCCAAGCAAATATCGGTCTGCTTTGCATGTAATACAGCTGGCAGTGTTATGTAAAGTACCCGATCTTCAGAGTTTTGGTTATGAAAGAGTCCTTGGTCCTTTGGTGCATGACATTAGAACACTGGAGCAGGAGGGTGTGTTTATTGAGTCTCTTGGTCAGTCTGTCCAAGGCACTGTCCTTTGTGTTGCTGCAGATAATCTAGCAACTCACGGATTAGCAGGCTTTGTCCAGTCTTTCAGATCAGAATATGTGTGCAGGTTCTGCCTGGCTAGTTGAGACTTGTTTCAGTCTCAGGAAGTTTCTGAAGGTAATTTTGTTTTAAGAACCAAAGCAAGCCATGACCTGAATGTCCAAAACGTCACACAGGGAGCAAGTGACAATCAATTTGGCGTGACTGGAGACTGTTTGTTAAGACAAAGGTTGAAGCATTTTCATCCCATCACTGGTTTCCCTCCTGATAATCTTCACGACCTACCGGAGGGGTTTGTGCCAGTAGAGTTGGCTTTATGTATTCAGGAAATGATTTGTCTTAAACATTTCACTCGACTATTTGAATCAAAGAATTGTGTCATTTCCATATCAACATACAGACAAAGTCAATAAACCAAAGCCAATCGTGAAAGCATATGCTTTGAAAATGACAATAGGAGGCAACGGGCATGAAAATGCTGCATTACTGAGGCTACTTCCCTTAATAGTAGGCAATGTAATTCCAGAGGGTGATGGTGCCTGGGCAGTGTTAATGGAATTAAAAGACATTGTGGAGTTAGTGTTGTCCCCAACATTTACTGAAGAAACAATTCAGTATTTACACACTAAAATTAGGGACCACAGACAGATGCTTCTTGAAGTTTTCCCCCAGTTTAGGCTCAGGCCAAAACATCATTACATCGAACATTACCCAGAGTTGATCAGATGTTTTGGTCCTCTGGTTCACTTATGGACCATGCGATTTGAGGGAAAACACAGTTTTTTTAAGCATGTTGTACATGACACTCAAAACTTCAAAAATGTGCTCAAGACACTAGGTGTCAGACACCAGTATATGATGGCTTACCATCTTAGCGCACCAGCATTTTTTAGACCACATCAGCAAGCATCAGTTGTGACTTCTGTATTGGTTTTGACATTACCCGAAGTGGCAAAGCATTACATTCAACAAAAGACTGACAGTAATTCTATATACAGGACATCACAAGTTACCATTGATGGTACTGATGTTTGTGCTGGGATGTTTGTTTCTGCAAGTGTAGAAGCGAGATTGCCTCAGTTTCGTAAGATTGAAGATATCCTACTTGAAAATAATAATGTGGCCTTTCTCAGCAGACAGCACAAGTCTAATTATGTGGAACATCTAAGGGCGTATAACCTGATTCCAGGCGAACTAACTGTTTCCACTGTGTCAGACTTGAATGACATATATCCTGTTTCTGCTTATAGCATAGGAGGCCAGTTACTGTTGACCCCAAAGAGATTTCTACTGATACATTGACAAGGTATGTCTTCCTCTACTTGAACTTGAAACTGAACATTTTATTTATTTTATGAGAAGAGCAATCGTTCACACAAGAACAAGGTAATATTCAATTCATTAAATATTTTAGAATGTGTGGAATATGTACATTAGCTAAAGTATATGGTCATAGTAAAATATTTAATTTTCTTTGTTTTCATTACATGGCGGAGTCTGACAGATTGTTATTAAGAGTCTTCGTAGTCACAGATATTGCTCACAAGATGTTGCTTCCAACATGCCCCACATCAGTGCAAGAGCTAATCACCATAATGCGAGAGAAATTTAAACCTCATCTTGATTTTGACTTCAACTTACAATATGAAGACTCTGACTTTGGAGGACAGCTCTGCATTCTTTCAGACATTACAGAACTGCCACAAAAGGCTGTAGAGAAGGTTTTCAGATCAGAGAGTGATACTAGCTCAACTGGAACTTCAGACACAGATTTACTCCCCCATGCCCTGGCACGTGTGCAGACCTGGCCTGATGTATTTCCAGTACCTCTCTTTTCCTATGATGTTGAGTACATCCTTGAAGCTGGCAATACAGCATATCAGAATACTGGGAAGACTTTGAAATTAACAAGAGCACAAAAGCATGACATCTTGGAAAACATGGCCAAAACTATGCACACTTTCAAGGCGTACCCTAGTGATAAAGAAATGGCTTCTTTCTATTCCTTTCTGTACCTTATCTAATTCTGCTAAGCAATGTGATGTTCAGGAGCAATGTGATGTTAACCACCGACGTACTGCTGCCCTTTGAGCCCTCGCTGTGTATCTACGTGAAGATGACTCTAGGTTTTTAAGGACTTGGAATGTAAGTTGCCAAATATGTTTTTTCGTATTTACCATATATTGTTTCCCATTTGCACACAAAACTTAGAAGACAATGAGGAAATGTTTCTTAAAACAATAATTACAAAGTTTTGGTGTCAAGTCACTTTGTGACATTCCAAATATCATTGACAGTTTAAGTTGCATATAATTTAAGTTGCATATCATTTTCTGATAAATGTGTAAAGTCTAAGCTATTCAAAGTGTTTTGTTATTGTTAAACTGGTACAGAGACATGTACACAGAATTTTACTTGAGCACTAAAGCACCTTTTTTGGGCTTGTGTAAAGAGGTTTTCCCCCTCTTTTCGCAGGTTTTGCACTTTTCTTTCTTTGTTTAAAGTACTAAAATGTGTGCTTTCTGTTGATGTATTTTAACTTCAGTGAAAGGTTTTACTGCACCTCATTGAAAGCTTGTTTAAGCATGTTTACATACTCTTTAAAATACATTTTTGTTTAATGGGTACAGTAAATGTACACACGGTTTTACAAGCTTGTATCCTGTTAGAGAATTATGGACATGTTCTAGAATAGTTGCAATAAAATGCTAATTTTGACAGATTTCTGTTTCTTTTTAATTTTTTTACATTTTGTGATGGTATATGTTTGAGTTTTGTTAACTTAATTACTTTGAGGTAATTAGTTTCCTTAAATGTTTTAAGTAAGGTATTAGACTTATTTTAGTATTTTCTAGTCAAAATATTTAAGAATATTAAATTAAAATATTAAGTAAACTAAGACACATTTTTTAATGTATATCCAATATTTTAAATTGAGTATATCAAACTTAAAAGTTCACAATGTTTTGAGTTATGTTAAATGTAATTAATGTAGTTAAACATTAAAAGTAGGAAAACATTAAAAGATTATGTACACGGTACACATTTTTTTTACATGAAAAGAAATTAAATAAATACAGTTAAGAGAACAATAAATTTTAAGTATAGTGTAATCAGGTTTATAAAGTTGGTATATATAAAATATTTACGTTTTTGTTCACTTTAAAGAATAGAGTTTGTCCTCTAAAATATTTTGAGGTAATCAGTTTCCTCAAAAAATTTGAGTTAGTTGAACTTGTTCGGGTTTACAGTGCAGGTACTGACTGAGGGGCGAGTCTGTTGAGAGCTTTATATGTTGGTAAAAGAATTTTGTAATCAATGCAAAATTTTATTGGCAATCAGTGTAGTTTTGATAAAACTGGGCTGATATGGTCAAACTTTCTGGTTCTTGTGAGGACTCTGGCTGCAGTGTTCTGGACTAACTGAAGCTTGTTAAGGCTTTTGCTGGAACATTCAGACAGCAGGGCTGTCTACAGTCTACAGTAATGTAGCCTTGAGCATGAACTAGCTTTTCTGCATCCTGTAGAGACAATGCATTTCTTAATTTAGCAAAATTGCGGAGATTCAGGAAGACTATTCTAGTAATATTCGTTATATGTGCATCGAAGGACAGGTCGGGATCTATCGTGACACCAAGGTTTTTTACAGATGAACGTGACGCAACTGAGAAACCATTAAGTGTTAAATTAGATAGTTTGTTTCTATCAGCTTTCGGACCAAGAAGCAGAATTTAGTAGGAGAAAGTTACTCCACGTCCAGTCTTTTATGTCTTTTATGCAGTCCTCAATCTTGCTAAGTTCGATCAGGCATAGCATTATGATCACCTCCTTGTTTCTATGCTTATTGTCCATTTTATCAGCTCCACTTACTATAAAGGTGCACTTTGTAGTTCTACAATTACAGACTGTAGTCCATCTGTTTCTCTGCAATCTTTGTTAGCCCCCTTTTACCCTGTTCTTCAGTGGTCAGGACCCCCATGGACCCTCACAGAGCCGGTATTACTTGGGTGGTGGATCATTCTCAGCACTGCAGTAACACTGATGTGGTGGTGTGTTAGTGTGTGTTGTGCTGGTATGAGTGGATCAGACAGATTTTTAAGAGTTTTTAAACACCTCAGTGTCACTGCTGGACTGAGAATAGTCTACCAACCAAAAATATCCAGCCAACAGCGTCCTGTGGGCAGCGTCATGTGAACCACTGATGAACGACTAGAGGATGACCAACACAAACTGTGCAGCAGCAGATGAGCTATCGTCTCTTTACATCTACAAAGTGGACTGTCAAGGTAGGAGTGTCTTATAGAGTGGACAGTGAATGGAAAAACTCCAGCAGCACTGCTGTGTCTGATCCACTCAGACCAGCGCAACACACGCTAACACACCACCACCACATCAGTGTTACTGCAGTGCTGAAAATGATCCACCACCCAAATAGTACCTGCTCTGTGAGGGTCCATGGGGGTCCTGACCACTGAAGAACAGGGTAAAAGGGGGCTAACAAAGTATGCAGAGAAACAGATGGACTACAGTCTGTAATTGTAGAACTACAAAGTGCACCTATATAGTAAGTGGAGCTGATAAAATGGACAATGAGCGTCCATGAGAAACATCTTGCCCATGTCGGTTATCTCGATTTTTTTTTTTTTAATTCTGTTAATCGTTTCCCCACTCTGTGTGTTCATGTACTGTCCCCTTAAAAAGGGGTCACGTGACTCCGCCACGTCCAGTCTGAGACATGTAAGCTAAGGCTATATTCACATAGCAGGTAAAAGTGGCCCAAATCCGAATTTTTTTTTTTTTTTTTTGACTGTTTACATTATCTTTTAAATGTGACCTATATGCGACATTAGTCTGAACAGATCAGCTGCTAAACCAACCTGCATGCGCAAAAGAACAACGCGTCACGTTCATCCAGAGGTAAACAATCATGACTATGAACGAACACCAGTTGCTCTTGGAGCTTTCAGTTTCATCTTCGTCAGCGTCACAGGAGCGATCATGAAGCTTCACTGACTGACAGCTGGGCTCATCACCCAGAATGTGTTTGAGCTCGCCGTAAAAAGGTCACTTTATTCGGTCATTTCTTTGGTTCGCATCCTCGGATTCTTTAAACAGTCAACCACAATGCAAAGAACATCTCAAAATATCCCATTTTTATTCCCAGTGGTGGACAGAAACTAAGTAAATGTAAGTCATTACTGTACTTAAGTTTTTTAAGTACTTAAGTATTTCCATTTTGGGCGACTTTTTACCTTCACTCCACTACATTTCAAAGTCAAATATCTTACTTTGTACTCCACTACGTTATGAGAAATCTGTCGTTCTTTTTGGCTTATATGTGTATAAAACGTAATGTCAAAACGAAAGAAGCGCGAAGAAAGCACACCAATCAGGGTACAGCGCGCACTTTGTTTTAAACTTGTTTTGACCCGTTAGACATAGCTACCCAGTGCAAGCGTACGGTTCAACGTCAGTGCAGCAGCGTGAAATTTTGGGAGTGCCTATGCCAACATAAATGATGGAACTAACCTAACTTTGTGTAAATAGTCCACAATATAGAAATATGTACACATATGCAGTTGTGACTGGCTTGTGTCTTTTTTCTGAATTTATACAAACACTATTTAATTTTATAGCTGTTTTTCCTAGTTTATGTTTATGAACAGAGACCTACAGATGCAATGTAGTAAAAAAAAACACATTTGTGAACCTGTGTTGAAAGCACGTTTTTATTAAACTTAAATGTGTAACTAAGTTGCAAATATATCTTAAACTGAAACTTTACTTGTTTGCAAAGTTATTTCATAGCCACTTGGTTCTACCTAATGGAAATAGTTACTAATTAAATAATACTAATTAATGATGTTCTATTAAAAGATTGAGAGAGTGACACTAGAGTATTTTTACCTAAAATGAGTTAATGAAGCAAGAGTCTTGTTACAAAAATGATAATAGGACATTAGAGTCATAATTAATCTTTTAGTACTTTTATTTTTGATACTTAAGTACATTTGAAGGCAAATACTTTTGTACTTCTACTCAAGTGGAGTTACTCAAGTGGTCTTTTGGTCTCTGGTCTGACTCTTACCAGATTGATGTCTCTTTACAGGGCCCTCTTGCGCAACTCTCCATAGGGCCATCTCACACAACCCTCCATATACGTACAAGAGTGTACCTCAGCTATAACTTAAACTGTCGTCTGGCACAGCTCCCTTCTGTAGGCCCAGAAACTCTTTCCCCGTTAGAGAGTCTGCTGCACAGTCCATAGTCTGCTTCCCTATAATACCTTAATAGGAGGAGTCTCTAGTCAGCCAATGTTTAGTTTATTGATTACTAATCAGGAATATTTTATTCAGTCTTTCCCTTCAAGTCATAGATGATCGACAGAGTTCGGTGGAACTGCATCGCTAGGTGGTGCTATAATAAGCAAAAAAGTGTCATGCAACTGAAGGTTGTCCGATTGACATGAAAATTGGCACGGTGCTACAATGTGCTGTACTGGATCAGGATCTACGAGACTGATGTCATATTTGAAAAAACATGTACGCCATTGGCCAATCAGATTTCAGCAGGTATTTGACAGCCTTCAAATTGGCCAATCACCACGAAGACCGACTGACAGTTTCGGAATTTAGTGTAGTCTCATCTTCAGAGTCTGACCAAATCGGCTGAAACGTTCAAATGACTTGAGCGTCTCCTACAGCTGTCAAAGTTGTTGCTTAGCAACGGCGTTTCAGGGGAGTGATACAGTGTCTGTGAAAAACACAGACACT